AATGTACTTGATCATCTCGATCTGGAAGCAGGAGTTGCCCTGGGAGGAGTCCTGCAGCATGGATGGGAGTTGGTCACCGAACATCCTCTTACATGCACCTACCTCCCGCATACAGGCACCAAACATGTGCTTAAAGGCACCTAGAACCCACTTACAGCACCAAACCTGCACCAAGCATCTGCTTACAGAGACCAAATAACCAATTACAGGCACCAAACATCCACTTACAGGCATCAAACATGTGCTTAAAGGCACCTAGAACCCACTTACAGCACCAAACCTGCACCAAGCATCTGCTTACAGAGACCAAATAACCAATTACAGGTACCAAACATGTGCTTAAAAAGGCACCTAGAACCCACTTACAGCACTAAACCTGCACCAAGCATCTGCTTACAGAGACCAAATAACCAATTACAGGCACCAAACATCCACTTACAGGCATCAAACATGTGCTTAAAGGCACCTAGAACCCACTTACAGCACCAAACCTGCACCAAGCATCTGCTTACAGAGACCAAATAACCAATTACAGGTACCAAACATGTGATTAAAAAGGCACCTAGAACCCACTTACAGCACTAAACCTGCACCAAGCATCTGCTTACAGAGACCAAATAACCAATTACAGGCACCAAACATCCACTTACAGGCACCAAACATGTGCTTAAAGGCACCTAGAACCCACTTACAGCACCACACCTGCACCAAGCATCTGCTTACAGAGACCAAATAACCAATTACAGGTACCAAACATCCACTTACAGGCACCAAACATGTGCTTAAAGGCACCTAGAACCCACTTCCAGCACTAAACCTGCACCAACTTACAAAGACCAAATAACCAATTACAGATATCAAACATCTACTTACAAAGACCAAACATCCCCTTACAGTCATCAAACATGCGCTTACAGGCACCAAACATCCACTTACATGCCCCAAACGTCCACTTACAGGGACCAAACATCCACTGAAAGATACCTAACGCCCACTTACAGGCATCAGACATGTGCTTAAAGGTATCAAACATTCGCTTACAGGGAAACCAAATGCCCCTCTTCCAAACAAACATTCACTTAGAGGCGTTAATGATAAAATTATCACCAACATAGGAGCTACACACACTATCAAAACTAGCCACTAAACCAGCAATATATTCAGCCATCATTCAACTAAGCTGACACAACTCACCAGCACCACGACGTCCACACCAGCCTGCACCAGCAGCTCCAGCCGCTTCTTGTCGGCCTCCCTGGTGCCCACAGACGCTCCCACCAGCAGCTGTTTGTTGTCGTCCTTGGAGGCGAACGGGAAGTCGCGGCTCTTCTTGAGGTCGAAGCGCGACATGAGCGCTACCAACTCGCCGCGCTCGTTGACGATGGGAAGCTTGCCTGCTCCCACCGCGGTGACACCAGCGCTCACCGCGTCTCAGTACCCACTCACCTTTCTTGCTCTTCTCCAGGATGTCGTTGGCCTCGGTCAAGGTGACAGTGGACGGGGCGGTGACCAGCTCCTTCGTCATCAGCTGGCGGCAGACACACGGAGAGATCAGTCAATGCTCTATAGCAACGTTACAGGTATGTGCCGCTTAACGACGGTTCGTAATACCGACGGATTCAATTAGATAACTGGACCTTTTCAGGAACTTGAGTGAGAAATGAGTTACCTTATTTGATAACTTATTTCGCCGACCCGCTTTCGCCCTTTTTTTTTTTTATAAACTAATTTATAACTCGATTAGAAACCCAACCTGCAGAATGTTTTGTCTATATTCAAGAAAGTCATTGGAGCCCTACTGAAGATTACAAAATATTTATGAAAAGTAAGGATTGTTATCTTTTTATGCTATTCTTTCTAATTGCCATAATTACTTTTTAAATATATTTTTAAAACTATATATGTATGTGTTTTGAGTAAGTTTTATGTGAATATTATTTAATTAGAGGTAAGATTTAATTAAATATATAGTACTCACATAAATCTATATTAGATAATAAAAGGCATATATTGGATTTAATAAAATATTTATTTTGCCAATATTTCGGCTGGCTGAACGCCAACCTTTATCGAGGCATTACATTTTTGTATACACAAACTCAGCGCCGCATAGTGTTATAATATCACAGTTGAAATCAATTAAAATACAGAGTAGGTGGGAGAAATTTGTGCATGAAAAAAATATTATAAAAATTGCTATCAAATATATAAAATATCTTAAAATATTAAAGGAAAAAATGAGTTCTATCTTATATTTAAAAAAAATTGTAATAAGTACATAATTCATTTATAACTCAAATATACTTAATAATAATACAATTAATAAATCAAAATAAAGCTATATATATCACCATATTACAACATCTTATACGGCATGGGTACAGCCTGTAAATATATATATCTACGCAGAAAGATATTCAAGTAAGTTTGGTGCGCTGTCGGCTCAACATCTCTTCGGCCTTTCTTCCCGTCGTTAGCTGTGCTAACCCTAGTTTTCATGCTAGGTCTACATGTTTCCTACATCTAGTGTCTATACAAGAGCAGGTCGGTCTAGTGGCGCAAGCAGTCGCTAAGGGGCCCCGAGTTGAAATCATCGGCCAAGTATTCCACAGAAAGGTTACCTGGGAGAGCGGCACGGTCGGAGAATGCTTGCCCGCCAGGAAGTCGATGTCCCGTGAGGTGACAATCCCCAGCAGCCGTCCGCCCAGTTTGCCGGACTCCGTCAGTGGCACGCCGGTGAAGCCATGGCGCCGTTCCAGCTCGAGCAGGTCGCCCAGCGTGTGGCTCGGGGACATCACGACGGGGTCTCGGATGAAGCCGTGCTTGTAGCGCTGCGTGCATTCCCACATAGCTCACTTGTAACATTGGTTGTGCTGTGAATAAAGCTGATCTCTTAGCATCATCTGTTGTGTGATGAATAACATATGTGATTATATTAGAAGTACTTGTCATACAAGTTTACAAGTTACTTGTACTTTTGAATGAATAATTTTAATCACAAGTTGGTAGATGTGTAAGAGAGAGAGAGAGTTGGATAGGCTTAAAGGATTGGTTTTGGTTGACTTTAGTTTAGAGGTTGGATGGACCAAACTATAAACTGAATGGATCACAGAACAAGATATTGGATATCAAAAGACCAGGAATTAAGTGAAATACAACTATAAGAGTTAGATGACCTCTATTTACTAAGCGGAGTAGGAGCGTTCTCATAGACTAAGGAAATACAAGTATATCATTTTAAGCCTGGAGTCAAACAGAAGCCGTGATACAAAGTAAGGAATCAGGTAGACACCCAGGTGGACTGTAGCCGTTACGTAATCCATCACCCACCTTGGCCTTGCGGACTTCTTCCGCCTGGGCCTCTGGAGTGCAGTTGTTGTGGATGATGCCAATGCCTCCACACAGCGCCATGGCAACGGCCATGTCGGCCTCAGTTACCGTGTCCATGGGGGAGGACACTAGTGGGGCGTGGAGCCAGATCTTCTTGGTGAGTCGGGACTTGGTCTCCTGCACCACACTGGGTATGTAGCATTCTGCACAAGTATTCTCCCATGTACAACTACTGAGCCACTTTTCATAAATAAAGGATTCATTTATACACATAATACTAGTTCTGTCTTTATAAAAAGTTTCAACAAGCCATTATCGCGCCTCGGAATATTCTCATTGACTACGATATCGCCTCTGCGCAAAGCTAATTATCTCTTTATATTGACATTTGAAATTATTTTATTGACAATAAGTCAATTTTTACAAAACAACAATGATAATTTAAATGAATAAATGATGTTAATGTACAATGATTTTAGGAGCTAGGGAGGCTCCACCACCTTGATAAGGTCTTCCTCCAGACGAGGTCTTCTTGGACTCCTTGCATCTCTTTATATTGAGATACTGCGGATCCACGTACAAAAAGATAGTAGAACCTCCCTTTAGCGGACACCCCGCTAGACGACACCTCTCTACAAAGGACAGTTTTCATTTGCAAAATTACCAATTTTACAATTTAGCAACTCTCCGGTAAGAGGACATCTCTCCCTAAAGGATACTTTGGCTTTGCAATTAGGTGTTGTCCTTTACAGAGAGATAGTTCTACTGTACTACAAAACAAGAACAGCACGTACAGTACTTGTTCATACACTTACCACTTGGTCAGCGGCGAAGTCAATGTATCCAGGTAGGACCAAGAAATCACTGCAATACACAAACTTACCTGTTAATATACAAGTATGTTACAGAATTCAGGCAAATATGTATTGGAATATGAATGCATTTAAACATCAAAATATTCTGTTCTTTGGTAGTTATTTGGAACTGTTAAAGTCTATTAAATTGGAATATGATAGTCTTGAACAAAACTCATGGACATTTCACTTCCTTAATTTTTGTCCATGAGTGTAGTTTTTGTACAAAAAACGAATAATAATAATATTTTAGTATTATTCGTTTATGTACTTCTTTAGAAGAGCAGGGAATGCTCTTGAGATAGCATTAATAATAATAAACTCATCTCCAGAAACTTGTATTATTACGAACATCATTCATACCAATTTTAAGTCTTCATAAATTCGTAGCTTCCATATTCTATGAAGATTCGTAAATATAAATGATGATAAAGTGTGTTAGGCCCCACATAGCTTTGAACAATTTCATAATTGAAATTATATTCACCTATACACCTATCCCCCGATTTACACGGTACTTGTTTTACACGTTTTCGCTTTTACACGGTTTTCCAAATAAGTTTTTTTTTATCGCACTATACTAAATGCTACTTAAGATTATATAAAAGGGCGTACCTGGATCTGTAAAGAAAAAAAGAAACTATTTTTTTCTGAAAATATTCCGAGAGATTGCTCCTTCTTTATCAATTTATTGCACAGTAAACTTAATTTACAAATTATAACAACAAAACTGTAAGAATATTGAGTACAAGAGAGAGAATATGGTCTTACGTGCTACTGACCAAAGTGAATGATTTTCGAGCCCAAAAATAAAAGTTCCCACATCGGGGATCAAACCCGGGCCTCCTGAGTGAGAGCTAGGTATCCTAGCCACTCGACCACTTGATGAAATTGAGTATAAATTGAACTATAGAATGACTATAAAGAGACAAAGGTCGCTTCTCCCGTCAAAATAGACGTCAAAACCAGACACCATCTATTGACCGTCACCGCAAACTAGCGGCCTCGAGTCGGTGATAAAGCCACAACACCAGCTTTGGAAAACTGAAAAGCGTCCACTTAGAGGGCGTCTGGTTTTGACGTCTATTTTGACGGGAGAGGCAACATTGGTCTCTTTATATCAATATCCTCCCGGAAAAATTTCCATCTATATAGAATAACTATCAACTAAAAGAAAGAGAAGCGATAAAAAAGGATGTTATAATGGAGTTAGACATAGTCAAATGGAAATGTTTAATATAGCTATGTGGAAAGTGGGTAAAGGTATACAAAATACCAATGAAGTAAGGATATTTCTATTTGTTATCATTGTTTCATTTGTCTATCATTTGTACTATTTTTTCACATTGTGCAGCGTTCTCATGCAATTCTGGCCTTAACTACCCGTTTCATGATTTTTCAGGATGCCTTAATGACCAATTTTTTGGTCGTTGAGGTACAGCTTGCACCACGCTGATGAGGGCCAACAGCCCGAAACGCGTCCGTGGTTAGCTTTTCTTGATTAATCAAGAATGGGTATTTGGCCAATTCTGGAATAATTAAAAATCAACGAGAATAGTTTATATTTATTCCGATAGATGGCGCAAGCCATCAGCAACTTTCAGTTGCACGATAAGGAGATGCCTTTTCTTAATAGGTTATTTAGTAACCAAATTCTTTTGAATGATGAAATTTTTGATAAAAGAAATATTTCACAATTTAATCACATGCCGGAAAAAACAGGTGTCGCCAATTTTCCCAAGAGTTGCGACGTAAGAAGATAAGAACAGCTGTTAAGGCGTGTCGCAAACTAAAGCAAGATGGCGATTATCGCAGTGGAAGCAGACGAACACGCCATTTGTTTATCATCAACGTTATCATTTTCTTTAGTTTATCAGCCGATGTTTTACTACATGAATAACATTAGTGGAAGATAAAACTTATATACAAGAGGTAGGCAAGAAAATATGATACTCGAATAACTCTCTTATGATAAACACAAGGTAACAAGTAAAAATCCAAATAAATAAATAGTGTGTGACGTTTCGTTAACAGTGTTGTTACCATCATCAAATAAAAGTACTGAATGTACATTTGTCTGTACTTCATTCACTAAAATTCAATACTTTTATGAAAATTCGAACTATTATAGATCGGTATGATTCTTTTTCAAATAAGACAATTTCTGCCGCCCTTACTGCAATGGAAAAATTAATGGGAGGGCCTGGCTCATCTCTCTCTCTCTCTCTCTCAGTGGTGAACCACTAATAATACCATCAATAATAAGAATATTTCTTATAACTTTTAATTATTAAATTAGTTTGTTATAGGGCTTTTAGCTTCCAAAAATCTGGGTTGCACACAATAGTTTATAGTAGGTCTTGTTATAGGGTCTATATGCTCCAGGAACCCAGGTTACATCAAGAGAGGAGAGAGAGAGTTATAAAACTAATTTCCATATTTTCTAAATGATAATGATGATGATGATTTCTAAAATATATCGCGCTATTGTAATACTAAAACTTCAATGATTTCTATCTCATTTTAAGTTTTACCATTTTGAATTTTCCGAAATTGCTTTATTTGATGCTCAAACAAACATTTTAATTATCTATAAAGAGGATAAGGCACAATTTGGATTATCTATATATATATATATATTATATAATCTAAAATACAATTATTTCATTTTTTTTTTTAAACATTTTATTTTCATTCATTGACTTTTTTTATATTTGACCATAGAATCAAAAACATACCACTTTTAATTATTATTGTTGTAAATATGTATATTTAACACACACCCTACCTATCTTTTATTCACGATTATAGAATTCATTTTATAAATTCTATATTACTGTGATAAATAATTTTATGCATATTTTTACTTCAAGTAATTCAAAATAAAATCTACTTGAAAGGTAAAAAATTATTTTTACTTTTTACGACTGCACCTCTTTTCAACAATCAAACACACAAAAAAATTCTAATCTTTAATATATATAAATCAATGTTTGTATGTTTGAGTCAAAAGGCGATCCATTAATCGTATAAGAAGGCGTACCTGGATCTGTAAAGAAAAAAAAAATTGTTTTTTTTTTCTTTACAGATCCAGGTACGCCCTCTTATATAATCTTTGTTTGTATGTTTGTATGTTTGTTTGTTTGTATGTCCGGTATACAAATTCGCAGTAGTTCACTAATTCAAACCAAAATTTCCATACATAGGTAAAAAAATACGGGGAAGACGATAGGCTATTTAAAAATATATATATAAATCAATTATTAAAACTATATATTCAAATTATTCTACTTAGCTCACGAACAGCGCCCTCTATCAAAGATTAGATTAAATTATGCTGATTCAAACAAATAGATAATGCTAATAACAAACAATTATTTTAAAAAATCTTATCTAAATACATATCACTCGGGTAGATATGCACACGGGTCAATCCCGGGGCGAAGCCCGGGTCACCCGTCTAGTAGATAATAAACACAAGGTAATATGACCAAATCCAAATAAATTAATAGTGTAAAATGAAAGGATTTAAAAGCACGAATGTTTCTTTTATACATAATACAAACTTCTACTGCCCTTACTGCGATGAAAAAATATATTGGGAGGGCTTGGCTCATCAATATATTTTTTCATCGCAGTAAGGGCAGTAGAATTTGTATTATGTATAAAAGAAACATTCGTGCTTTTAAATCCTTTCATTTTATATGTATAGATGGCGCGTTATTGCTTTGTGTTAAATTAATAGTGTGTGACGTTTCGGTAACAACGCTGTTATCGAATCATCACACACTATTTATTTATTTGGATTTGGTCTTATTACCTTGTGTTTATTATCTATAAAGAGGTATAAGCATTTTAAAATAAATGTAGTTTTTTCTATGTTGTTCCAACACACTCTATTTAACATTCTATCACATAATATGTTACACGAACTATGTATAAAAATTAAGATCTTATGAATAATTTTATTATACTCACACACACACAAATTAACTGAAAATTAGGAATTTTTTAAGAACGTGAACTTTTTGTATACACTTATTTATTAAAATTATTAATATATACATGATATATGATGCATTAGCGCGCCATCTGTTATCAAAATTAGAAACTATTATAGACGCGTATCATTCTTTTTAAATGGTATATTAAACTGGCGAAACCGCTGGGAGGGTTCACCACTGATGAGCCAGGCCCTCCCATTAATTTTTTTTCCATTGCAGTAAGGGCAATAGAAATTGTTTATTTTAAAAAAGAATCATACGCGTATATAATAGTTTCGAATTTTGATATGCATGATATATTAATTTAAATATCAACTAATCGTTGATATTTATTCCGATAGATGGTGCAAGCCATCAGCAAATTTTAGTTACACGATCAGAAAATGTCTTTTTCTTAATTTTCACAGTTTTTTTATATTATTAAATTTATGTGATTTGGGGCATTCTAACTAAACGGGGGTAAAATACACCTGGATATTGCCAGGGCGAAGCCGGATCTACAATATTCTTGTATACACACATATGAACAAAACTTAAGGAAGTTTAACCTTTTAGCATATATATCGGGATTTAGACAATAACTCTGAAAGATATTTTATACACATTGACCTTTATTGAAGACACACGAGATAACCAAGTGTTAACAAAATTAAAATTGCCTCTGTCTCCTTCAAAAAAAAAAACAGATGACAGGCGAAAGCAAAGACTTTCCACTTCCTTAAGTTTTGTCAATACAATGTACACTGGTGTCCAAAAAATAAGAAACTTTTGTTTTTTAATGATATGTTTTAAAATATACAACGCTAAAAGCTAAAAAGTAATTTAATTAGGTATTTTAAGTCGTAGAATTTATTTATCGCAACCATTCGATTCGGTAAAATTGTAAATATGCAAATTTTGCTTGTCTTTATAAGTGTGCTATTTGGCGTGTCTTTTACCCCATCTAAGAATTGTCCAATTATAATTTTATTTAATCCTTAGTTAATTATGAGTTTACGAAAAATTTTAGCAGATGATTTAAAATGGAGAGCTGTTGGAAGAATGGAGGCAGGGCAATCGCAAGATGAAGTAGCAAAATGGCTAAATGTGAATAAATCTGTGGTCAGCAAAATATGGAAACAGTTCATTGAGACATCTTAGGAGCAGTGGCCACCCAGACCTTTCGGTCCATAAACCGGCATGCGAAGGCGTACCCATTGCTGAAATCCAGATCACACAGCCAAAAGGGAATGATGCATTCTCCATGCACCGAGCGGCCATTGTTTGGCCCCTCGCGCCCGCCATTATGTTCTGGCTCCATGGGGTCGACCAATCAAACCCACAGGCGTCTTCGAGAGTTTATTGGCAAGGTTGCTGACCGAGCCCTCTCGTTCGGACTTAGTTAAACCCGTCCTACGCTCCAATAGGACTCCCCCCTTTGGCCCTCGAACCTTTGATCACAGTACTCCCTGAATCTGCCGTCGAGTCAAGGACCTCTGAGGTTCTGAGGTTGACGCAGGGAACCTCGTGAAGGCGGGGGGGGTGGTACTGCTGTGTGCACCCCTTGGTCTTTCAGCAGCCAGGCCAAGACCTGGTTTGCAATTTTCGCGCACGGCAAGGACGCTCCCAATGGCGCACACACAGAGCGAAGACCCAAGAGTTTCAAGACTCGTGCGCCCCGCGGCGGATCACGCCAAGGGTGGACCACCAGCTTACAGCTTCACTGAGGGTCAACCAGTGGTACTCCGACGCAAGGCAAACACGCAGAGACGCCTCTCCACTCCACTCCCCTCTAGAGTGGGTGTAGAGGGGACAGGAACTTCAAGAAAAGAAGGTTCTGGTAGAAAAGAAAAACAGCTACCTCTGAAGACCGTTATCTGGTCGTAACTGCCAAGCGCCATAGGGA